GCGCTTAATTAAAAATGCGGAATTACTTTTTCTTTTCAATTATGATGCCATTAACATTACCAACTTGCGTAATAACCAATTAATAAAACATCGCATGTATGTAATTGCTATAAAACAGCTAACTGAAATACCTCATAACATAGATAATAGGAATGTGGCTCTAGTCACGGAACTACAACAATGTAGACCGAACCATCTAACAGTTTATACAACTCCAATCTAAAAAGTACTAACAGAAAGTGTCATGGACAATCCCCATGCTCACTCAAATAAGGCAACATGCCCAACATCAGTCTCAACAACAACAACATATCGTAAATAGCGGAAAACATAAACAACATCCAAATCCAGTCATGCTAACATAAGGCAGTAAAGCATAATCAGCTAAGCTCCGGCCTCCTGCCGCCTGAGGCATCAATACCCATACTACCTGATCCTGAAATAAGCATTCCCCAAACGTGGGGTAAGATCTCTAATCTAGAAATCTCAGTAAGTCAGTGAGTCCTCAAGGATCTTCTACCCCAAGCTCACTTACATGTGCAATATAAGTTCAAAAACAGTTTATCATTTATCATTTCTAAAACAATGCAATGCAGCAGATAATCATACCATGTGTGTCAATACTAATCTACTGGCCAGAGACAGTGCATGTATACGTCTATCACCTACACACCGTGCAAGTACCACTTGCATTCACCCCGGTACACCGTCTTGTATGGCGCTACATACTCAGGCTTCCCGTCAAGATGAAACAACACATGCATATTAAAAGCGCATGCATAAACCATACCCCCATGGGACATGGTGGAACCACAACATGGCTAAACCGAGGACACGAAAGCTTACCTTGCAAGCTAACACCCAATGCCAAGAGTCCACAGCTCAAAGTCCAAACACAGCAGATTCACAATCTGTTATGGACCAATACTATATCAATAATAATGCGTCACAAGCATATAAATTAAAGACAACGCCTTTCCTTACGTTTTACGTCTTAAGGCTCCATACCAAGCCATAAGTCCTTAATCACAACGATTCTGACTTAGTTCATTAATTACAGAAGTTCCACTTCATCAATCTAGGGTCCACAAACCCCCAATAGCCTACTGTACGCACAACACAGCTACTGTTCTACGAAATCCCAGAATATCCGGATATTCCTCGGGACCATATCCGGATATGCAATATCCGGATATCTCACTGGACATATCCGGATATGCAATATCCGGATATCCAGAATCCCACATCCGGATATCTGATATCCGGATACTCAAAACCCATATCCGGATATCACATATCCGGATATTCATCGGGCACATATCCACATATTTCACGACAGAATGCAGAAAATGCATTTCGTTAAGATATCCTTCCAAGGTTCCATTTTTAACACTTACTTACGTTAAAGCATGCATCTTTATACTGATTAAGGTCCACACCCCAGTTGGTTGCTTGATTAATCCTTTAAACATGCAAAGATCACACCTTTAATCCATTAAAACACAAGCTCAAGGTAGGTACAACTCACCAAAGCTCAAAACAGAGGTTGGAGGTGCTCTTGGAGCTCACAATCAGCTCCCAAGGTGCTGACTTCAAGGGTGCACGAAAATACCACCTAAGCAAGGATCTTTCTTCGCAAAGGAAGCTCCTTGAAGCCTCACAAGCCAAGAACAACACTCCTCAACAAGAATGCCACCAAACCATAAAACAACTCAGCTCCCACAGCCACCACAACTCAGAAAAGGTGCTCACATTTCACTCACAAAGATGATTCCCACTCACCCAAGGTGTTTTAGTGAAGAAAAGGAGAAGAAAGGCTACAAGGGAGGTTACACAAAGGTGGAGAAGGCCAAGACAGCAACCACTAACTCCAAACTCACGTAGAGAATGTAATATGGCCTAGTGTTTTGTGCCCACTTAGGCTTATATAGTGGTTTAACAATTAAACACACAGTATTAACTTTAATTGCTACGCTTAGCATTTTAATCCCAAACTTTGGAATCTGAAACGACATATTTTTCCAAGAATTATCATATTTTTCTTATAATTTTATGAGCACTTTTCCGGTAGACGCTTTTCCAAGCCAGTACCGGTTTCTAGCACCAGTTCCCATTATCTGGACTTGAAACTCGTTTTACAAGTCCTACATATTATTCTAGTAATTAACATGCACTTACTTTAATTTTTCGGGATACTTTTTCGGTACTCATTTATACCGACTAGCAGAACCAGTATCTGCACTTTTCTTCCGAAAAGCGACTTTCAGCAATATTACCCACTTACTATAATTATTAAAGCCTCATAATAATTATTAGGATCAATTATGGAATCATTTCCTAATTTTGCATAATTTATTAATTAAATACCTTAATTAACGGTGCGGGTTCTTACAATGCCCATCATCATGGTGGGGCCACAAGAGAGAGAAGCAACCAAACCAGGAGCTTAGCACAAGTCCACACTCTAATACAATACGTATGCTCCAATATAGTCCTTAAGTGCAAGGTTCTCTAGGCACACCTAGAGTAGGAACCATTCACATCATTAATTACATATTAATTAATCAAGTCATATCCAAGACTCAATCATTTAATAGTTCCACTTTTCATACTCATATGCCAATAATATGCCCATTACAAGTCTAGACCATTTATTACATAATTACATTTTTTTAGTGCATTATGAAGTGTCAACATGTTATTCTAACAACCACATAGTTCAAACACTTCACACAACCTTAGAACCACACTCTAGGGCCACTAAGGTACTTAGATTATTTTTCAACACTTCAACTCCTCATATCCTCACAAGGCCGAGCATGTAACCATAGGCAAACCCTAGGTTAGATTTTAACTTTACAAGTTGGTTCAAGCTTTGGACACCTAATGAACCCTAAATCATCCTTCAACATGATTTTTCACTCAAAACCCTAACTATTTCCTACATGGCCGAACCTATAGGATGTGATTCCTTATGATTTTCTTTCATTATATTACATGGTCATGGCCTCATGGGTCCACAAAACTAGTCTTAAACCTAGATTGTTAACTAGTCTTAAACCTAGGTTGTTAACTAGTTCCCTAACTAGTTCACTCAAATGATCATGCCCTATATATATATATATATTGGGCTATGCAAATTAAGGTTCCTTAAGACGTGAATCTTTTTCCAAAAGACTCTTCTGGGTAGTGTGGGCACTTGTGTCTTGTTCATATCAGTTGATTTTTTTGGGCTTTATTCTAATATGAGTTCAATCAATAGTGCATGCACAAGAATCTTCCACTTTCTCTTTAGTATAAAATTGAGTAGAAAGCCTAAGATTAATATAACTCACTCTTAATGTTCATCAATTTGTCAATTAAGATATATGTCCCACCGCTTGTATCAAGCAATCATGTGGATCCATCATATATTATTAATAAGGGCTTCATACAATCAATAAATGATCAATTGATTTGATGTTAATCCACTAAAAACCTGAAGTTCAACTATAAGATTAAGGGAAAAATATTTCTACAGTTAATGCAGATAAGTTATCTCTATTTATTCTCAAAACGATGTCGTTTTGGTATTGAAATCTTAAAAATTTATAAATATAAGGACTATTATAACCCTGAAATAAATTAAAATTACAAAAATACCATGATTTCAGCCCCAAAACGACGTTGTATTGGGCTTACTGCAGATAACTTATGTGCATTAACTGCAGAAAAAGCGAACCCTAAGATTAATAATACCATTAAGATGAATATATCTTTTTTCCTTTGTGAAATATTGATAATCGATAGATAAGTATTTTATCAATCAATTATTTATTCCATTGACTTAAATAATTTCTCTAATTGATTACGTGTACTGACTAAACATCTTTAACATCTAAGTGCTGAAACATATTAATAGGATACTTCATACAAAATCCATATTATTTATCTCCTAAATATCACTAATCAAATAATCTCACTTCCAAAATATCAAAATGTTGACCATCATTAAATCAATCATCACTTGTGTTGGATCGAACACTTGCTACTAAGCCAAAAAAACTATAATTTTTAGTCAAAGCACAATTTTATCTCCTTATCCTTATCAACTCAAGTAGCATAGTTCGATATGACTCTGACAATCTGACCCACACCGGGCCTTGCTAGGACAAGAAGTTGGCCTCACCAACACCTTCCAGTACCTACATTTTTTGCAAAGTGTCATCCAGAAAAATCAAACCCATGACCTCGGCTCTGATGCCAAATGTTGGATTGAACATTTACTAAGTACTATTAGGCTAAAAACAATAGCTATTAGTCAAGGCGTAAATCTTCCTACCTACTTTTACCAACTCAATCACTATGATTCGATCTCACTCCGCTGACAATAGACCCACCAATAATTTGCTGCTAAATCAAAAAATGATAACTATTGAATCACCTATTTATAATAGTTTCAGGATTAAGAGTAAAGATTTTGTGTGTGTTTACAGATGGTTTGTATAAATACGGGCTGTTCGGTTTAGTGTATTGTTAGTACGGTCCAAAATCAAGTTTTAAAACCCAAAGTAAACAATTTTATTTTATTTTTGTAAGATCTAAATTAACAATTAGTGTATTTTATAAAATCTACACAACCTACAAATTAAAATAGAATTGATGTGGTCAGTTGAATTGGTTAGATCGTGAATCGCCATGTCTCCTTTCCAAACATTATCCGTTTTAATTGACGTACAGTAGCAATTTAACCACAAACTTAGCCAATTAAACCAATTGAATGGAGGTTTTGTTGCTTCAATTTTAAATTAAGGTTTTAAAACATTATTTGCAACAATGATAAAAGGAAACATATAAATTATAACTATTAATAAAATAATAAAATTTAGGACAATTGATTTTTTTTCTTGGTAAACAATTGATAAAGATAAAAGAAGTTCTCTTATAAACTATGAAGAACTAATCCGTACTCTTTTGTGGGTGACGATTACGTAATTAATTAGTTTATAATCTTGTATCAGGTGGAAACTTATCAAGTGGAATAAATAGTCAAGGCATCGTATATTACGACAACCTCATCAATGAACTTCTATCAAAAGGTTTAAAATTGTTATTGTCGATTCCTTTTCTTTTTTCCTTTCTCTTTATTTGGGTACAGAATTTATCCTCCTTACCTATTTTATCTCTTAATTGTTTTCCATAACCCAAATTAATATGAAATGTATATATGACATAAATTTTGCTATATTAAGATAAACAGAAATTCTATTAAGACAATTTTTAAACACTTTTTTTTAATACGCTCTTTATTATTAGGTCATGTCTCATACTTGTTCAATAATAATAAAAGAAAAAGATCTTTACAAAGAAAGAAGAAGAAGAAGATAATTAATTTCTAAAACATATGTGGAACATAATCAATAATATTAATCGTTTGAAAGAAAGAAAAAAGTACTTTATTTCAACAGGTTTGAAGCCCTTCGTAACTCTTTTCCATTACGATCTCCCCGAGAGCCTAGAAAATGCATACGGTGGCTTTCTGAGCCCACAAATAGTGTAAGTAATGTCTATAACACAATATTCATTAAAATAGATTCTCCATTTCATAAATGAAACACATGAGCGTTTGACATTGGTTTTAGGAAGGATTTCACGGACTTTGCAGAGGTGTGCTTCAAGGCATTTGGTGACAGAGTGAAGTACTGGATCACATTAAATGGCCCATCAATTTTTTCTCAACAGGGTTATACAAAGGGTTTATATGCCCCAGGCAGATGCTCAAACTGGTTGCCATTGAACTGCACAGGTGGTGATTCTTCTACTGAGCCTTACCTTGTTTTCCATCATCAGCTTCTTGCCCATGCTGCTACTGTAAAAGTTTACAGGGAAAAGTATCAGGTCACTCCTTAACTTGTGTATGTTTTGATGAAATTATAACACGTTAAAACAAGAATAAATATCATTTTTGGTCCTCAGCAAATTTTACGATGCCCGCTTTAATCCCTAGCAAATAAAAAGGCTATTTGTGGTTCTTAAGAAATTCAAAATGGCCCCATTTAGTTGAAATAATTATCCCTCATAAATTCAAAAAGTCCCATATTAGTCCCTCAAAAGGACTAAAATGGATTCACTTTGAATTTCTTAGGCACCACGAATAACCTTTTTATTTGCTAGGGACTAAAGCGGGTATCGTAAAATTTAGTGAGGACCGAAAAAAGTATTTACTCATAAAAGAAATGCAGAATTATCAATAACCTTTGATTTAAAGGAATGGATCTTGTTATGTTTATTTTAACATTATCACGTTATACGAAAAATCTCTATCATTTATTAATTGATCAATGGTTTCAAATTTAATATGAGAGTTCGTAAATTGGAAAAGAAGAAATGATTATTTTAATTGCTCGTGCTTTATCTATCAATGACTGATTGAGATTTTTCAAATAATGTAATTATGTTAAAAAGAGAAGTTAGAGGATCTATTCCTTTGATCCAGGAAACAGTAACCAGATTGCCACCTTTGTGGCGTTTTTTTACCAATGTATGTCAATAATGTTATTTTTTAATATGTCACGCGTCCAAATTCGTTACAGTAAACAATGAACTTGGTTTGTTAATGTGGCGTATTTCTGGTGGCCACCAAGTTCGCTATTGGGTGTAGCGAACTAGGTGGCAATTAATGCCCCTATGCTCTGACCAGTTGACAGGACACATGGCAAAGTTTGCTACCCATGCCAGCGAACTAGGTGTGCCATGTGGCAGCATCTCACCTAGTTCGCTGCAGGGGCTGGCGAACTAGGTGCCAAGTGGCAGCACCCTGAAAGTTCGCTGCATGGGCCAGCGAACTAGCTGCTGACAGTTACAATTCACTATATATTATAGCGAACTCAGTGCTAGTTATACCCCTTCCCCCCTTCCACCTTCAATTTGTAAAGCTTGAGCCTTTTTTCTAAAGAACGCCACTATCTTCTTCTTGTTTCTTGTATTTTGTATTTCATATTTGACATAATGAGTGAGAGTAGCAATGATTTAATCGCCATTATATATTACAATGAGAGGAGATATTTTGGACCGAACGGTCAAGTGTTTGAAGGAGATATGAAAATATTCCGCATGAGCCCCCGATGCAAATATAATGACCTGAAGAAAATAATATACAAGAAGTTGAGATTACAACGGGGTCAATCCCTCTCTCGATTGATTGCTATATGCGCCTCGGGGAACTCGGTGCAGTGGGTTGTTGTGGAGGTTATCGAGGATGAAGATGTAGCGTTAGTAGTAGACGCATTTCGAGAGCATTAAGAGTTCTCATTCATCGAATAATATGTGAAACTAAACACTGGTGGACAGTCAAGTACTTAACATTCCCTCCCTTGCATTACTCGACCGACATTAATAGGGAGCTGCTAGTCAATCCTAAAGATAAGTATGTGTCACTGCCACCATCATCACCCCAACCAATGTCTTCAGATGTGATTCCTGCCCATGACATGTATGATCCTGCGTGGCGTACGGGAAGTTCCGAGGAAGAGGTGGAAGAAGGTCTTCTTCCTGATAGTGACTCATCGGATATAGACGTTGATGGTGATTTCTAGAGGGAGTCGTCTAGTGCATTGTGTCATCCGATTCCTTCACCGCGCATTGTCAGAATGCAAGACCCACCACCAGTGGAAGGTTAGTTACTTTAATGGGGTATTGGTTTATTTCAAATAAAATTATTAATGACACGTATATGGAATTATATAGGGGAGGATACTGTACCGTTTTGGTCTCAAATAAGCCATTACACTAATATTAACTGGGCACACCCAGATCAGAAATGTGATGAAATGCATAGGGCAAAAATACCAAACTGGCAGATGGGTCAAGAGCTCTATAAGGACCAGGTGTTTGAGAGCAAGCAAGATGTATAGATGGCAATAAAACAATACTGTATAGCGAATCATCGCACAACTGATGTAGAAAAAAGTGATACGAAAAGACTGATAATGGTTTGTCAATGACGGTTGTCCATGGAGGTTAAGGGCATACCATAAAAAGGGTGCGCATATAGAACAATGAACATACATGTGTTAGTCAATCACTTTCTCAAGATTACAAACAGTTGGACTCAAATTTTATTTGTTCATTAATCATTAGTAAGTCAAATAGTACATCAACTACCCTATTTATTATTGTTCCTATAAAGTAATATCACAATTGATCTGGATAATTATATAGGCCCACCAGGGTTAATGCCCAGAAACGGCCCAAGAAGCGCAATGGCCTCATAACGCGAAATGTAGGCATTGCGCATAACCGCCTTATGTAACTTAAAGGCTAAGAAAAGATCCTGTAACAGGTTGAGATCCACTACACATACAAACCACAGAACCGCCTTATGTAACTTCCTATAATAGGTTGAGATCCACTATGCATACAAACCAACACACGAAAGACAACTCCATCTTGTCACCATAAGAAGACAGATAAATATATAGACTTATAGCCCGAAAGACACCAGTTGAGACAGACAACTCTGCAGCCCATAACAACCAATAAGAAAGCATGCCGCCTACCAAAGGCGGCATAAGGCTTGCTATAAATATGAAGGGTATAAACCCTGGTATGATTTGATTCCTATAAAATATAACATAAACCTAGCATTGATACTGACTTGATCGTCGGAGTGTCTTGTAGGTACCCCCAGTCATTTCCATTATGCTAGAAGTATTCTCCAATCTTCAAGTACACAACAAACGTCACAAGCCCACAAAGCACTATTCACAGCCCAAAGTCTTCATCTTTCAACCTTGTATGATTTAGCCAATCCATATTGGACTAGTCTGATTATTGGTGCCGTCTGTGGAAACTATAAATATCAATTCCCACTTTCTTACAAATAAAAAAACATGGTTAATACCAGAAGCAAGTCCCAAAACGGTTCTAAGGGAAAGCGGAAAGGTGTACCGACTTCACGTGAGAAATCAGCTTCGTATGTTGCTCCAATTTTTGCACGTAATGAAAATCCACCCACCACTCAACACTTGTTGGAACTTCTTTATCAACAAAACAAGAAAATCGCTCAGCAGAATCAAGATTTAGTTCGGCTAAAAAATTTTCAAAGTAATATGGAAAAAACCAGAGAAAAAGGAAAAGAGACAGAAAAAGAAAATGATGAGGGTATGGAAAAATATGATGAGAGCGAACCAGGTCATGAATATTCAAAGAAAGATCTTGGACCTTCGGACCAAAGTAAAAAAAGAGAGGGGGAGAAGAAAGTACTTGAAAATTCTCAAGGAAATTCTAAAATAGTGTCTCGAGTATTGCATCCTTTTTCTTCTCATGTCATGAATATACCAATCCCACTAGATGTTAAAGTTACGACAGAAAAATATAATGGGAAAGGAGACCCACAAGAACATTTGGAGCAGTTTCAAACCAACATGATGGCTCAAGATGTTGTTGACTCAGTGACGTGTCGATTATTCCCAACAACGTTAAAAGAAATTGCGCTTCGATGGTATTCTGCCTTGCCCTCCAATTCAATTCAGAGTTGGAAAGATCTTGCCAGCCAATTTTTTATACGATTTTCTACCAGCAAAGCGCAATATAAATCAACTCACGCCTTGAAAACTGTTAGCAGGGTGCGCGCGAAACTTTGCGCGATTATCTCAACAGATTTTTTGACGAAGCTCTTTTGGTGAAAGATTTAGACCCACAAGTTTCTTTACATCTTATCATCGAAGGATTATTAGAAGGTCCGTTATCTATGTCTTTGGAAAAACATCGTCCCTGAACTATTGAGGACCTTAGAGCGCGATCGGGAAAGTTTATCAATTTGGAAGACTATAAGCGCTCTCGTGATACTCCTGGAATAAAAATAGAGCTTGATAACTTTGAAAAAGATTTCCAGAAAGATTTTCAAAGGCATTTTAAAGAAAAAGGAAAATAGAAAAAATCTAAAAATTACTCTCCTTTGAATACATCACGTAGGAGAATCCTTAAGGAATTTTTTCAAGATGGCTACATTAATATTCCAAAACCTCCACCATTGAAAAAAGGAGGCGTGATGAATCTAAGTTTTGCGAATTTCATGATTATACTGCCCATACTACTGATGAGTGTTTTGATTTAAAAAACATAATTGAAGCGCTAATTAGCGCAGGAAAACTTCACGAATTTATCTCCACCTGCAAGGATTACAAGGCACAAAGAAGGCGTGATAGAAGCCCTGATAATGATTGGAATCCTGATAGACGAAGGGTTCAGGAAAGAAGAGATTATAATTGGAACAAATCTCATAGGGACAGGAATGTGCAATATGAGCGTAATGATAGGCGAGAGGGAGAACCATCGCGAGATAGACAACGTGACCAACAAGTAATACATCAAGGACTTCCACAACTTCCTAATAATGCTCCAAGAGTATTAGCCACTATTGCTGGAGGAACGGTTGGAGGAGAAGAGACCAGTTCTCAGCGAAAGCGACATCTAAAGATAGTCATGACAGTTACTAACCATGGACAGAATTCAATGCACCGTAAAAATCATGAGTCAATTACTTTTGATGATGATGATTACAGAGATATCATTCCAGGCCACGATGATTCGTTGGTGATGTCTGCTTGCATGGCGAACCACCAGGTAAAATGAATTTTAATTGATAGTGGTAGTTCCGTTGATATTATTTTTTGGGACGTTTTCAGCGCAATGAATATTCCAAAGCAACACTTAATCCCTGGCTGTACGGATTTGCTTGGCTTTTTCTGGAGAATGTGTACAACCCAAAGGTACCATTGAAATGTTGGTAACCTTTGGGATTATGCCTATAGGACGAACTGTTAAGGTACGATTCTATGTAATTGATTGTGCATCTGCCTATAATGTTATTTTGGGACATCCAACCATTGGAGCTA